AGCCGTCACCCCGCTTCTCTTTAGCTCTAGGGTTGTTATAACCCAGGAGATCGACCAAACTCAGACGCCGAGATGGGCTTTAATAAAAGGAGTTTATTAAGCTAAGTCCGCAGGCACCAGCAGTATGTCCCACACAGGAGTAACCGCGCCTGGGAGAGCTAAAATGGCTCCTTTTTATAGGATTTTGTAAGGGGGTTGCTACGTGTAACATGTTACAGAAGCGGAATTTAGCAGTTAGTTAATTACCTGTTACTCAGTTTCCCAGACATCTCAAAGGTCAAGATGTTTTCAATAGATTATCCCTGGTGCCGCCCAGGATTACTCAAAGGTTAGTTATTACCCCAGGGTTAGCAATTACTTAGGGATTAGTTAGTGAAGAATGTTCTTCAGTAAAAGGGTAAACTGACAACCCCTTTGGTTGTCGTGAAGGCCTCTGGGAATTTAGGTCAATGGCACTGAGTTATAACAGGGTCAGCAAAGGAAACCCCACCACCATCAACCCAGTCGACAACAGACACCCCCACCCCTACCTCTGGTCTCATCCTCGAGCTTGATTGGATGAAATTCCATTTTTCTTACTGAGTTCTAGATCTCGAATGGACCTCTGAGGTCATCTGTTTTAACCCAGTTTTGCAGATGAAGAAACTAATGCCCAGAAAGGGGAAATCATTTGTCCAAGTTCACACTGTAGTTAGTATGAGAGTCAACGCTAGAATTTAGGTTTCCTGGCAGTTACTTTCTTTCTTTTTTTTTAATCCTCACCCGAGGACATTTTTGCATTTTTTGTTCAGACAGAGCGGGAGAGAGAGAGAGAGAAACATCGACGTGAAGGGACACATCGAGTGGTTGCCACCCGCACGACCAACCAGGGCCGGGGACAAACTGCAACCGAGGTACACGCCCTTAGCGGGAACCGAACCCAGGTCTCTCTGTACCGCAGGTCGACGCTCTAACCGCTGAGCCAAACTGGCCAGGGCGGCAGTTACTTTCTTTTACATCTGTTCCTGTCAAGCTCAGGAGGTTGCAAAGCTTGTTTACTCTTATTAACTATTCAAGGTATACTTACTGAGCATTTATATATGTGTGGCTAGATTACAAAACGATGCCTGAGAATAAGAGACAGCTTAATTGTTGCCTAAGATCTTGCATTTTAGGGGAGTATGTGATTAACAAGAAATGAGTAGTACGGTCCATTAATGCTATTCGAGTTTAGAGAAAGGGGAGAGCAACAGGGGATAGTGCTGTTCTCCCCAAAGAAAGGGCTTAAGTTGGGACTTGAAAGTTGGTTGTGTCTGGGGTAGAAAAGAAGGAAAGGAGGAGCTGAGTGCTGGAGGAAAATCAAAAGAACAGTGATTCTTGTATTGGGTGGGAGGTAAAAATCTGTATAGTTTCTTCTGTCTCTTAGTCTTTTGGGAAGGATATATAACAACATGAAAACTCATATGGGACAACCTCTTTGAAAAGAGGTTTAGCATTATCAAGTAAAGTTAAAGATGTGCATACTGAATGACCCAGCAATTCCCATTCTAGAGAAAGAAATGCATGTGCATATGTTCCTGGAGACCTGTATAAGAATGTTTATAACAGCATTGTTTGTACTAGTGGACTGAAAAAGAATGACACAGTCATAGAATGGAACACCGTGAATGAATGAGTAATGAAAGTGAATGAATTGGAGCAGTGGTTCTGAACTAGGAGCAGTTTTGCCTCCCAGGGGGATATTTGGCAATATCTGGAGATGTTTTTGGTTGTCATATCTGGGAGTACTACTGCACCTAGTAGGTAGAGGCATTATGCTATACATTTACATTTCCCATACTTGACTGTGTTCTAGTTCATATATATCTATATGTAGATATAGATATATATTAAAGCTTAAAAAGAGACTTTTATGAATCCAGTAACAAACACTGCACATTACAGGGACCAAGAGGGAGATATATTGAAGAGATTAGGTTGGATTCTTAAGATTTGAGCTAATCACAAGACTTAAAAATTATATTGAGAAGTTCAGATTTTATACTTTAGGCATTGGGCAATCATTGAACAAAATTGAATAGGGAAATTCTTCTGAAATCTGTTATTTAGGAAAAGGAATCTTATGGCTTTATATTGAAATGATGGGATGGGGGAAATGTAAAAGGAGAGTCCCACAGAGCATTTGGGGAGCCATGACAACATTAGTGTAGGCATGAAATAATGAAGACCTCAATTCAAAAAAAGGATTAACAGGACAAACTATTTAACGTAGGATGGAAGAAGGAAAGAGCTATAGATGATGTCTGGGTTTTCAGTCTAGGCAACTGTGAAAATTAGAATTATCATTATCAAAATTGAGGATCAGATGGTCAGATTGTTTTTATCATTCAAGGTTGAGAATGTAAAATCCAAGCAGTCTAGTGAAAAAAGGGAAAGAATTGAAGTGATTACACCCTGACCAATTTGGCTAAGCCGTTAGAGCGTCAGCCCGCGGACCAAAGGGTCACAGATTCGATTCCCAGTCAAGGGCCCATATATAGGTTGTAGGTTCTATCTCAGGCCTCTGTAGGAGTCATGTGAAAGGTAACCAATTATGTGTCTCTCTCACATCGATGTTTCTTTCTCTCTCTCCCTCCCTTCTATTCTACCAAAAACTCAATGGAAAAATATCCTCGAGTGAGGATTAACAAAAAACAAAACAAAGAATTGAGGTGATTGGAAAACTAGGAAAGTGCCTTTTATAAGCATTTTTCTCCAATTTTATTATACTCTAAAATAAATAAAGGGCTGTTGTGAGGAAGAATTACACTTTTCTGTCGAAATTTCAGAAGGCAGATTTAGAAATAATTGATGGGTGGTGTTATGGGATTATAGGCTTTGAATCAGAATAAAAAACTTTAACAGACTTTCAGAAATGGACTAAGTAACCCTTAGAAGAATTGAACTGTCTTCTTGTTAAGTAGAGACTGACTATTTTTTGTTTTTCATCCTCACCCAAGGACATTTTTGCATTTATCTTCAGATAGAGTGGGAGGGAGAGAGGGAGGAAGAGAGAGAGAGAAACATTGATGTAGACACACATCGACTGGTTGCCACCCACACGACCCCAACCGGGGCCAGGGACAAACTGCAACCAAGGTACATGCCCTTAGCGGGAATCAAACCCGGGACTCTCTGGTCCACAGGCCAATGCTCTAACTGTTGAGCCAAACCAACCAGGGCCTAACTGACTATTTGAAATCTCAAGGATCCTTCCTTGAGATTTTATTGAATTGAGATTTATTTATGTATTTATTTATTTTGGTATGTGCCCCTAGTGGGAACCGAACCCAGGACTCTCTGGTTCGCAGGCAGACGCTCCAGCTGCTGAGCCAAACTGGCCAAGGCAAGTTGAGATATTTTTAAGGGCAGTAAGAGCAGCCACTGCTTGAGCTTAGCAAAGGAAAGAGCAATAAGATGGTGGTAGTAAGTATAGTCCACTCATTCAAATAATTTGGCAGAGAAAAATAATAGATTAGTATGCTGGGAAGTTCTAAGTGTAGAGTGGGTAGGTAATATCTAATTATCCTAAAAAAATTTTTCTTTATTGATTTTAGAGAGAGAGGAAAGAAGAGGGGGAGAGAGAGAGAGAAACATTGATGAGAGAGAACATCGATTGACCGCCTTCTGCATGACTCCCACTGGGGATTTGGCCCACAGCCTGGGCATATGCCCTGACCAGGAATCGAACCAGCGACCTCTTGGTGCATGGATTGACGCTCAACCACTGAGCCACACCGGCTGGACTAACTATTTACCTTTGTTTTCGTGAAGTTTTCTGGAGTTTTTTGATAGGTGTTTTTAACAGAGCTCTGGCCTACTTGCTTGTTGTGTTACACTGTGAACTTGAACTTAAGTCAGTGTTTCCTTAAGAGTTTACATTCTGCATACTTATAAGGTCCAATTACAGAAGTTAGGCCATATTGTATATAAGATGCCTGTGTTTATGGGTGCAATACTGTTCAGAGCTCTGTTTACTTGAAACTGGTATTTAGAGCTTTATTCTCTTAAGACTGTTTCTCATTCCTTAATTTCTTGGAGTCCTTGGCAGTTAGCTTTTATATATTCAAAGTAATCCTGATTCATATTCAATCAGGACTACCTGATTTAAAGACTTACCATAAAGCTGCAGTAATCAAGAGAGTGTGATATTAGTGTAAAGATACACATGGAAATCAAGGGAACAGAACAGTCAGAAGTAGCCCCACATATATGTGGTCATTTCAGTTTTCCACAAAGGTGCCAATGTTGTTCAATGTGGAAAGGATAGTCTTTTTAATGGATGTTGCTGGAACAACTGAATATCCATATGGAAATAAATGAAACTTGATTATTACTTCATATCATATAAAATTACTTCAATATGGATCATAAACCTAAACCAACAAGCTGAAACTATAAAATTTCTGGAAGAAAACAGGAAAGCCCTGGCCGGTTGCTCAGTGGTTGGAGCCTTGGCTTGTGGATCAAAGGGTTGAAGGTTTGATTCCTGGTGAAGGGTACTACCTGGGTTGCAGGTCTGATCCCTGGCCTCTGTCAGGGTCATGTGGGAGGCAACCAATCGGTGTGTCTCTCTCACAGTAATGTTTTTTTCTCTCTCTCTCTCCTCCTCCCCCTTCTCTTCCTCCTTTCCACTCTATCTAAAAATCAATGGAAAAAATATATCCTTGGGTGAAGATTAACTAAAAAAGGGGGGACACAAGACTTGAATAGATAGGTCACAAAAGAAGACATGAATAGGCGCCATGAAAAGATGTTCATCTTCATTAGTCATCAGGGAAATACAAATTACAGCTATAGTGAGATCCATTTTACATCATTAGAATGGCTAAAAAAAAAAAACCCTCACTTTTAATATCTAGTGTTGGTGAGAATGTGGAGCAACTGGAACTCACGCATTGCTGGTGGGAATAGAAAATGGAAAACGAAAACCATGTGGCAGTTTCTCATAATGTTTACATATATTATGTTTTTACTGTATGACAGCAATTCCACTTTTGTAATTCACCCAAGAGAAAGGTATGTGTCCACAGAAGACTTATACATGAATCTTCGCTGCTGCTTTATTCATAATAGCCGAAACCTGAAAAGAACCCAAATGTCTATCAACGGACAAATCCATGCAATGGTATACCACTTGGCAATAAAAAGCAACAGACTACCAATCCATATAACAGCAGAGGTGATTAACATGGACAGTATGCTGAGCCAAAGGAGTCGAATGCAAATGAGTATACTGTATGATTCTGTTCATATAAAATTTTCGGGCAGGCAAAACTAATCTTTAGAGATAACAAATGAGATTAGTGGGTGCCTGAGGTGAGAGAAGGGTTAGAGATAAACTGCAAAGCTTTAAGGAACTTCCTGGGAAGACAGAAATGTTTATATCTCGATTGGGGTAGTGTTTGCATTGGCATATATGTTTATTAGAAGTCATTTACCAATACCCTTACAATATGTAGATTTTATTATATGTAAGATACACCTTGTCATTTTTTCTTTAATCAAAGCAAAACACTTGTTCTTAATAACTGGAAATTTATACTTTAATCTCAAGGCTTCCCCACCCCCCTTTAGTAGTTAAGTCCATGTGTCTATAATTTAGTATCTTCAAACAATACTGATTTCCCCTTCATCAGAATTAATCTCTTCCTTAGTAAATAATACTGAGCCACTCAGAAGGGAGAGGTTAGTTGCAGGGAATCCAGGAAAGCTTCACTGTGACACCACTTCAGCTGGGCCTTAATTCCCCTGATGCTTCACTAGCTCTTTGAAGGCAAAAACATGTGACGTTCTCAAATTCTTCACTGTGTTTTGCACAGTATAAGGCACATAGCTACACTGGAGAAATGTTTATTTGAATGTTTTTAGTCACGTTAACTATTAAAAATGTTGATCAGAGTTGAAATTAAAGTAGATTATTTATCAAAAGACTTTTAGTTATGAACAATTATTAGTAAGCCTTTAGCAAAGACCTCGCTTGAGCCAGGAGCATGTATTGTTTAATTTCTTAGTGATGAAGCAAAACCCTTTCTTTTTGGATGCCATGGTGTCAGTCTGATGAATTGCAGAGTTCACCTTCTCTGCATGAATCACACATATCCTTAAGGACCGACAGCTATAGAGCTGAGAGTCTTCTTTGTTCATTTTATGGTATTTTTAAGGCTTCAGAAAATGCTCTTTCAACAATCAACTGAGCATAGCACTGTATAAGATTATTTTTATCGTTAGCTCAGTGTTTACATTTTGATTAAATTTTAATTCTAGTTTTATGAGATGATACCTCATCTAATATTGTTGGCTATTAGGTTTTTAAATTTTTTTCTTTTCGTATATTATGAAAGTTTCATTAAATTGTTTCTAAATATCGCCCTGGCCGGTTTGGCTCAGCGGTTAGAGCGTCCGCCTGCGGTCCGGAGAGACCCGGGTTTGGTTCCCGCTAAGGGCATGTACCTCAGTTGCAGTTTGTCCCCAGCCCTGGTTGGTCGTGCGGGTGGCAGCCACTCGATGTGTCCCTTTCACATCGATGTTTCCCTCTCTCTCTTTCTCTCCCTCCCACTCTGTCTGTACAAAAAATGGAAAAATGTCCTCGGATGAGGATTAAAAAAAAAAAAAAAAATTGTTTCTAAATATTCATTTGCATTTAGTTCTCTGAACCGTAGTTGCAGACCTCAGAGACTTACAGTTCTAACACCATTTCAGTTTTATTTGCCATGAATAGCACATCTAGAGGAAAGATAATTCATTTAAAAAATTGGTGTTGCCTTCAAGCAAGTAAATTTTGCCATGTTCTTTTTTTTGCCTTTAGATATTTTAAATCTATTGATCAGTTTCACCAAGGATTTTGAAATATACAAACATTAAATTACTATTTTTAATATTTTAGGGTAACATCTGCCTGGAGAATGGATCTTTCTTGCTGAACTTTACAGGCTGTGCAGTGTGCGGTAAGCGGGATTTTATGCTGATCACAAACAAATCTTTGAAAGAGGAAGATGGAGAAGAAATAGTTACCTATGATCGTAAGTAGACCTTTTCTTTTCACACAGGTCTGTTAGCAGGTATTGAATTTTGGAAGTTAATATGTTATGCAAAGTATGATGAGGCCTGTTTTAATATCGTATTATTGCACATAGTTACTAGTTAGGTTTTTTTTTTTATCCTCACCCAAGGACATTTTTCCACTTTTTGTTCAGATAGAGTGGCAGGGAGAGAGAGGAAGAGAGAGAGAGAGAAACATCGATGTGAAAGGAACACATCGAGTGGCTGCCACCCGTACGACCAGCCAGGGCCGGGGACAAACCACAACCGAGGTACGCGCCCTTAGTGGGAACCGCACCCGGGTCTCTCTGGACCACAGGCCGACGCTCTAACTGCTGAGCCAAACTGACCAGGACTAGTTAGTTAAGTTTTTAAGAGAAGATTATAAAACCTCATTTATCTAGCATCAGATAGTCTACTTAAATGACTTTTGGAGATAACTGAAGTTTATGATTCAGGCACCATTTTTGGTTTTGTTTCTATTTATTTATTTATTTTTGTTGTTGTTCATCTTCACCTGAGGATATTTTTCTCCACTGATTTTAGATAGAGTGGAAGGGAGGGAGGAAAAGAGAGAGAGAGGAATGTTGATGTGAGAGAGACACATCGATTGGTTGCCTCCCACATGACCCTGACCTGGGCTGGGGAATCAAATCTGCAACTGAGGTACGTGCCCTTGCTCAGGAATCAACTCCAAGACCCTTTGGTCTAAGGGCTGATGCTCTAACCGCTGAGCAAAACTGGCCAGGGCTGTTTTTGTTTATTTTTAAAGCCTTTATGCCTTCTGAAACAAGACATAGAGACTTTTTTTAACCTTAGGGTCATCCATGTGAGTTTTCATTTTCTACTATAATATAATACAGTGATGTCCTCCCACAGCTATTACATTGTATAGGACTGTTTGCCCCTACTTTTTTTTTTTTTTATCCTACTCGACATTTTTCCATTTTTTGTTCAGGTAGAGTGGGAGGGAGATAGAGGAAGAGAGAGAGAGAGAGAGAGAGAGAGAGAGAGAGAGAAACATCGATGTGAAAGGGACACACAGAGTGGCTGCCACCCGCACGACCAACCAGGGCCAGGGACAAACTGCAACCGAGGTACTCGCCCTTAGAGGGAACTGAACCTGGGTCTCTCTGGACAGCAGGCCGACGCTCTAACCGCTGAGCCAAACCGGCCAGAGCTGTTTGCCCCTACTTTTAATGTCCCTGAGTGCTATGCTTTTTTTTCAGTCTTGTTTCTGGTTTCATAGCTTTTTTTTTTGTCTTCTATCTCACTGGTGTTCCTTTTGCTGCTGTAAATATGCTACCTTTATATGCTGTTCCACCTCCTCAATACTGGGAAGCCAAACAAATACACTGTGTGTAATAAAATAAATCAATTCTGAGATTGGCACTATGAAGTTCTATGAATAAATTAAGTATATGTACACTTTTGTGCCCAGATATTGTGACAAGTAGTTAAACTGTTCACATATCCTTTTGGCTTATCTCTTGGTTCTTTGATATGTTCTGAACATGTAAGGAGTAAGTGCATAAATAATAATATTTTGCAAGAGGGGTATGAAAAACACTAAGCCTTTAGAATAGAGTCAGACTATCAAAAAAAAAAAAAACGTTCTATATTAGAAGAATCTTTTTCTTTCTTTTAAATATAACCCTTGAAACTCAATTTCATTCCAGGTAGTAAGTCATAGTGGTTGAGAGCAAGGGTTCTGGAGCCAGAATGCCTGGGTTTCAATTCTGATTCCAACACTTCCTAACTCGTAGTCTTCCTAGTTACGTAACCACAGTACGCATTTGTTTCCTTGTCCCTAAAAATTGTATCTACCTCTTTGGGTTTTTGAGAAGATTAAGTGAATAAACAGATTAAAAAAATATTTTTAAAAGTATCTGACACACTGTAAACACTCAATAAATCATAGTTATTATTATCATATTGTTTTTACTAAAGTGTTTTGTTACCATTAAATTCACTTTAATGTCTAGCATTGGTTGTTTATTTATGATTGGTTGTAGTAGCATAGTTTCTATCGTTCCTGAGAATCGAAACTTTTACATAGTTAGATAGGTCTAGCTAGTTTAAAAAACACCGTTACATACCTGTTAATTGATTACCTTAGAGAGCGCTCGGTGGGGATTAACATATGCACATTGAGTGTCTGAATTTAGGCCTTTAATTATGTGGTGTTGCTATGTCACAGATTCTGGATTTCTTATCAAGGTAGATGTTATAATGGGTTTCCTCTGTGTTAAATATGGCAGTTAAGATTCTTTTGAAGCAATATCATTGCTGAGACTAAAAATTTTACTGTCTTAAAACACCTTCCATGACTTAATTATTTAAATCTCTCTCTTTGTTTCGGCAGATCTGTGTAAGAATTGTCATCACGTAGTAGCCAGGCATGAATATACATTCAGTATCATGGATGAATTTCAGGTAAATTAAAATAAATATGAGTATGTTATTGGTGGGGGGGAATAATAAAAGTACCCTTGAAAATCTAGATACAGTTTTCATAAATGAAGTACTAGCGAATTTTTGTTTGTTTGTTTTTACCCCCCTTAGGGTATTTTTTCCATTGATTTTTAGAGAGAGTAGAGGGAGGAAGGGAGAGGGGGAGAGGAAAGAGAAAAAGAGAGAGAGACATCAGTGTGAGAGAGACATAGCAATTGGTTGCTTCCCGCACGACCCTGACTTGGGCCTGGGATAGAACCTGTAATCCAGGTACTTGCCCTTGACCGAGAATCGAACCTGTGACCCTTCGGTGCAAGGGCTGACCCTCTAACCACTGAGCCACACTGGCCAGAGCAAAGCACTAGTAAATATTAAAGGAGACCATCCCTCTCTTCTACCTGTATAAGTTGAGAGAGAAACTTTTTATGTGGGTGAATCTGCTCAAATCTGTCTTCACAAGAATCAGAAATCAAGAGTGTGCCTTACAAGTGATTTCTCAGTCCTGTCACTTTTGTTTATGAAGAGCAGCACATAACTTCTTATGAGATTACTATTGTTCCTCCTTTTCCTCGATCTATTTATTTGATTGCACAATTATTGGCTTTAAGTGATGGCTTATCTACTGCCATCATACTTGTTGGGCATGGAAATTGTGATGAGGAGGTTATCTTTTGTTTTCCCTAATAACATGTAGAGTTGAACAATTCTTTAGTCTCAATTGCAGAAAGACATTCGAATATTATTTGTTAAGTAAAATAACAAAATGGATGTATCAAGGTTAGAGGAGAGAGGCTGAACCACTATAAGGATAGAGAATAGGGATTTATTATAAGGATTAGTCCTTAGACAATTGTGAGAGCATATGAAGAACACAACAGTCTCGTGTAGGCCTGAAGAAGGTCTAATGGTCGGGAAGAAAAGCTGGATAAGGTGGGAGAGCCAAGGACACACCTTAATCACGAGGACACATTGCAGCCTGAGTCTGCCCCTCCCAACCTCCATTCTCTGTCTTTTTAAAAAATACATGTTTTTATTGATTTTTTAGAGAGAGAGGAAGGGAGAGAGAAAAACATTAATATGAGAGAGAAATATCAATTGGCTGCCTCCTGCACATCCCCTACTGGGGATTGAGCCTACAACCCAGGCATGTGTCCTGACCAGGAATCGAACGAGGACCTCTCAGTCCACGGGAGGATGCTCAATCCACTTAGCCACACTGGCCAGGCTCCCTGCCTCCATTTTCAAGCCTTCAGCTTGAGTTACTTATTTAGTTTGAACTAAATGTTCATCCATGGTATATAAATATTAGGTTAGAGCTTTTGATAGGCAAAGCATTTTTTTTTAAGTCCTTCAGATTTGTATAGTACTATAATTAGGCAAAATAAAGTCGTTCATAACAGAATCTTATAAAATAGCATAACCACTCTTGCTCATTCTTATTTTAGTGTGGAAGAAAGCACTTAGTTACCTATCATAATCTTTTCTAATATGTTGTGCTTAATCAAAATAGCATCTTGACCATATCTCCTCAGTGTCCAGAGATTATGCCTCAAAAAGAAATTTTTTTTAAAAATCCTCACATGAGGATATATTTTTTCCATTTATCTTCAGGTAGAGTGGGAGAAAGAGAGGGAGAGAGGAGAGAGAAACATTGATGTGAGAGAGACACATCAACTGGTTGTCTGCTGGACAACTCCAGCCATGGCTGCAGTTCGAACAGCAACCAAGGTTTGTACCCGTGACTGGAATTGAACCCATGGCTCTTTGGCCTTCAAGTCGATGCTCTAACCCCTGAGCAAAACTGGCCAGGGCTCAAAAAATATTTATATGATATATGTAACCTAGGCCAAAATCTTGATCTCGGTGAAATGAGTAGTGGCTAAATAGGGTAATGAGCATGTCACGGGCTTAAAGGAGCAGCTCTGTCCTTTCATGGGAGGAAAGGAATGCTTATAGCTAGTTTCCAGAAGCTCCTGAAGGTCCTGTGAGCTTTAAAGTCCCTAAATGGATATTGAGATTGCTTGTTTATGCCCTAATTGAGCCATTGTATAATACTGCCATGACATCAAAGTCTAGCTGATTTTCCTTTATGACTGACCACAACTATTTTCAGAGCTGCCTCAGAAATGACTGTGATGGGAAGAAGACTGTAAAGGAAGGTGGTTTGTATGTCCAGATAGTGTGAAATTCTCTTGAAAACAAATCTCTTAAACTGGGCTCTCTACTTCGGTGTTCTCTCTCCCAGCATTCACTTTCCCTCTCTCATATGATGAATTCTGCCATCAGATTATTTTTCTTAAAATGATGCTTTCAGACTACCTCATTGGCCTTTCCATAGCACACCTTTAGGTAATATCCAAAGTCCTCATTCCAGAATTCTCATGGGCTGCCGCTCCACTCTCCCTTGTTCCCACTCCCCATGTACTCCCCATGTAGCACTGGCCTCACACTTCCCTCCTTCCCTCCTGCTTCAGAGGGAGTTTCACTTCTCCTGGATGCTTACCGCTGCTGCGTTTCCTCTGAATCTCCAGCTCCCTGCTCTCTGTCATCCTTTCTCTCTCCATGGGAGTTAAAATTTTACATTCAATATACTCTGTTCTTCTTCATTTGTGAAAAATGAATTAAACTCTTTATTTCACTTATCTACCTCTTTGATTCAGCCTCTCATCATCTCTGTCCTTCCTTTTGCTTTTTTACTTGAATAGCTTTTTATCCTGTTTCTCTTATTTCTCTATGTTCCTTTTAACCACTTACAAACTGGTTTTCATTTTTACTTTTCTAAAATTATTCTCTCATAGGTTTTCTATAATGGTTCTTACCTCTTTTAACATCTCTTCTGAATCTGGTTTTGTTAACCAATGTTGTCTTTTTAATGCATTTTTTTCCCCTTGTGGTCTGTAGTACTAGACGTTTTTTCTTTTTAAGTCATTTGACTGCTCATTTGCTTTTTGTCTGGTTTTCTTTCCTATTTTCCCCTAAGCTTTGGTGTCTGGCCTAGAACTTTTGGTATACTCCCTCGAATAGTGAGCACATGCACACTCAGCCTCAGTTAAAGCCTATCAGGAATCTTCCAGCTCTCCTCGAAGCCTAGCATCCCGCCTGCCCTCTTTTCTTCCTTTGTTTCTCTTGCTTATTTTTGGCTCCATTGCACACCTGTGTCAAGGACCATGCCCCCTCACTCTGAGTCACTGCAGCAGCCCCAGAATGTAGTTCTGCACTAGGCCCTCAGTTAATCTTCCTTAAGCACATCACCCCGTCTCTCCTCTGCTGCTCCACAGGCATTCACCTGCTCTTTTCCACATCCCTGTCCTCGTTCAGGCTTTTTCCTTGACTTGTCGCTTTCTCTACCTGCCATCTTACCTCTTTCAAGCTGAGCTTAATTTTTATCTCCTTGATAGTTTAGCCCATACTCCCTTCTCCCTTTTCTGAGCATATCTTGTACCTCCAGCAGGCCCTGGCTTCTGTGAAGAGCTACTTGGGAACATCTGTCTCAGCCTGATGACCACAGGAAGTCTTCATTCTCAGCTGCTGTGACTTACTTTCTCTTCCCCACCCTATTCCAGCCTCATCTTATTCTAGCAGTAGTTCAGGTTCAAAGTGGAATTTCCACCATTGATAATGTTGTGTTTTAAATGTCTTATGGGAATTTTAAACATAATTAAAAATAGGCAGACTAGTGTATTAACCTCCACTACCCAGCCTCAGTTTATTTGTACCTCACCATTCCGTGTCTCCCCACAGGATTGTTTTGAAACAAATTCCAAACATATCACTACTTCTGTAAATATTTCAGTATGTATTCCTAAAAGATAAGGATTCTTTTTATAAACTACCTCTGTTAAGTAAGATTTTCTGATGGCAAGAATAGAGGGGAAAGTAGAGACAGTACAGTGTTTAAATGGAAACTACATTATAAATGATTACAGATATTCTTTATTTTTTATATCACCCTAAAGGCCTTTAAAATGACTATGTGTTTGCCCCAGGAAACAAGAGGGGATCTCTGAGACTGCTTTCTGTCCCTCTGTGGACAGAGACGGAGAGGACTTGGGGTCAGAATGAACAGACAGTGATGGAGGAAGAGGGCCACGGTTCTCTCAGAATAAAACAAAGGATCTGGTCTTACCCAAAGGAGATTCTACCCACTCCGCCCTTCCTTCTAAATCTGTGCCATGTGGAGCCTTTGAGGGTCTCCATGAGCGACTGGTAGGGGGCTGGGGGCATAGTTTTGGTAAAAGGTTTCCTAACCCACCATATTCCTGGCAGCACACGGAGATATGTTTCTGGCATTCCAAGGTAGAATTCTAGACATTTTTCCCACAGAAGTGCTGCTGTATGTGGTTAGATTCTATAGAACTTGTATGATAAAAATTAAAAAAAGACTCCCTGGATGGTTTGGCTCAGCAGTTAGAGTGTCGGCCTGTGGACCAGAGTCACGGGTTTGATTCCAGTCAAGGGCACCTACCCCGGTGCTGTACGATTCCCCAGGCCTGGTCAGGGACGTGCAGGAGGCACCAGTCAGTGTGTCTCTCTCACATCAATGTTTTTTTTTTTTCTCTCTCTCCCTCCCTCCTTCCCACTCTGTCTGGAAATCAATGGAAAAATATCCTTGGTTGTTTATTTAAAAAAAAAAAAAAGGCTCCCTGGATTTTCCTGGGAACGTAACTGTCGGGTACAACTACTTCTGTGGGAAACTGCTTTTGAATTCCTAGCGGTTGACCTTCAATGAAATTTGAAATACAGACTACCTGTAAATTAAAGATTACAGGTGTAATCAGTCTTACTGATTTAATAATCTTTCCAGATTATACTACATGTTAGGTTTTTCTTCTCCCAAGTTAGGTTGTAAGTGTAAGGGTCAGACCTTGTCCTGGCCTTCTCCCCAGTCGGCCAGTGTACCTAGCACGGTGCAGAGTATTTAGACACTTAATAAAAACTTGTCAATGGACAGATTGGTTAAAAACTCAGATATTGGCCTAGCTTCACACATTTTCCCATTTTGACTTTATTTCTTTTTTCTTCTTCATTTCCAGTGATTGATTGACATCCTACTAGTAATGCCTGATGGGTAAAAGCAGAAGTGTTTGAGAATAGTAAAAGACCTCGGAGAGAGCGGATTTTTTTTTAAATTCATGAGACTTGCATTTGTTTGCCAAAGTGTAGCCTCTCTTTATTTCTACTGTGTGTGTACCTGTAGACTTTAAAATTAAATGTGGTCTTTAAGAAACAATCTTTCCACTGCCACAACTAAGCTCCCCTGTTGAACTCACTAGAAGAAAATGGAAAGGCAGTTGCCTGGTTCCTAGTCTTTGTACTGTAGTCATTGTTGATCTCTCTGAGCCTCTCTCTAGTGACTCATTAAACACAAACTGCTTTGACTTGTCAATTTCCAGACAGCTAGCAATCTCAATGTCAGGTGCAGAAATACTAATAGATTTGACATACATGTTTGTTTTCCTAAAGAAGGTAAAAGGGCCCGCCCAGTGTGCCTTAGTGGTTGAGTGTCGACCCATGCACCAAGAGGTCTCCAGTTTGAATCCTGGTCAGGGCACATGCCCAGGTTGTGGGCCCAATCCCTGGTGGGAGGCGTATAGGAGGAGGCGGCCAATCGATGTTCTCTCTCATTGATGTTTCTGTCTCTCTCCCTCTCTCTAAAAGCAATAAAAAAATAAAAATAAAAATAAGGTAAAAGATTTTTAAGAAAAAGGTTTAAAATAAATGTTTTTATAGTTTATGACCAAGTTAAATATTCTAGAAAGGAACCTCTATAAGAACAGGACTTTGCCCTAAGGATTTTTACTTAAAATAAAATCCCTTCTGTTACCCGTTTGAACAGTGGCTAAAAGAAATATAAAACTCCTTAAATAGATCAAATTTCAGACAACTAGCTATCTAAATATGAGGCATGCTTGACATACTAGTGTATTTAACATAATTTTTTTATTTTCTTGGGGTAGGTAAAATAGCCTTTTTGGGTTTGGAAATGTTCTCTCCTTTTTGTTGTTTCAAAAAATCATTTCTGTTGCATATTAGTGCTAAATATCCTAGAAAGGAATAGCTCTAAGATCAGGAATTTGTCCTTAGGGACTTACACTCAAATTGGTCTCAAAAAAAAAATTTTTTTTAAATTGATTTTAGAGACCGAGGAAGGGAGAGGGAGAAAGATAGAAACATCGATGAGAGAGAACATCAATCGGCCACCTCCTGCATGCCCCCCACTGGGGATTTGGCCCACAACCTGGGCATGTGCCCTGACTGGGAACCGAACCAGTGACTTCCTGAGGCATGAGTCAGTGCTCAACCACTGAGCCACACTGGCTGGGCTCAAGTTGCTTTTATTACTTCAGATAGCACTAAGTCCATTATGTGTGTTTTTTAAGTCCAAGAAATGGCCATGCATTCCCAAGATGATATTTTTGTATACTTAGTAAATAGAGCATCAGCATATATTCAGTTTATATAAACAAAAGGCTCTGGAATACACAGAATAAATCTTTGGCATTGCTATAGGTATTGAAATTGTTCTAATATACAGAAAGAATGTCCATGACAATGTGAACAGTTTTACCTCAGTAAGTTAGGAAGCCTCTTCCTCCCTGTTCCACACGGTAATTATGAACTTTCTCTTGTTCTAGGAGTACACCATGCTGTGTTTGTTATGTGGCAAAGCTGAAGATACTATCAGTATTCTTCCTGATGACCCTCGACAGATGACTCTGTTATTCTAAGGATCCTTCTACAGGTCTATTGTAACTAGGTTGTGTTGGTTTACAATCCTGCAAGCCTGATGATTTGTCTAACTTAGTTTATAATGGAAATTATTTGCTTATTTTTTTCTGCTTAGACTTACCTATTCTTTGAAAGAAAAGAAGTAATCTGGGGGATCACTGTTCTCTAGAGCTGAGCTTTTCTGCTAGAGTTCCTGGTTCACATTGGTGCAGCCGGAATGAAGCATCCTTGTTAGTATTATGTGGCTAAAAAATAACTAGGATAGGAGCTCCTAGTGCCCAGATCTTGGTTCTAGTAAAAGGAACCAGGACTCCTTGGAGTAATGACTTACTCTAGAACTGGGGCTATAAATGTACAAGATGGGCTTGGAGCATCTTGTGCCACAAAAAAGAAAGTGCTCAGAAAAAAACCACAGTGGTTGGGTATGTCAGAAGGACCGAAGAGCCGACTGAAGGAGCTCCCAGTGACCAAAGCTGGAACAGTTTGAATAAAAAATTAAGTAGTATTGGATTATAACCCAAACTATAAAATGAGTATTCATGAGTCCATCCTGATATAAATAAATGATTGAATAAATAAATACATAAATTAGAATAGGCAAATCTCCCATGCAAAAGATTTGTAAATAATGTATGTAGATACTCCCCACTCCTTAAATGTCAGTGTGGTGGTGACTTCCTTCCAGAGTATGGTTTAGAAAGGGGGTACAGACGCTAGTCAGGATCAAGTTAACATCATCGGTGATAGGCCATGTGATAACATGTGTCCTTGATAGGATGTGATGAAAGTGGCACTTGACCTTTATAGTGTTCTTTCAGTCTAGTCATGAAAAATACATCAGACAAATCCCAATTAAGGGACATTCTACAAAATACCTGACCAGTTCTCCTTAGAACTGACAGGTCATCAAAGACAAGGAAGTCTTACAGCCAAAAAGAACCTAAGGAGACATGACTACTCAATATAATGTGGTATTCGGAATGGGATCTTGCACCAGAAAAAGGACATTTGGTGAAAACTGGGGAAACATGGATAAAGTGTGAACTTTAGTCAATATAAATAAATAGAGTGGTTTCAGTTCTCCAAAGGGATCATAGACTGTCTTACCTTGCACAGTGAAATAACACTGACTGGGTGTCATAAACCCTGGCATTTAGGCCTCTCTGCCATTTGGTAGCAGTATAACCATTAAACAAAGTATTACTCTGGACTTTATTGTCCTCTTTTTAAAAATTGGGTGAATGAGAATTGATATTATACTTCCTTTGTAGTACTGTTGAGAGATCCAAATGAATAATGAATGTAAAATGCTTTGGAAGACATAGAAAGTACTAGATACAATGAAATGACTTCAGTTAGTTCTTCTCATTGTGAGACCAAACTTATAACAGTCAGGCATTAGAAACAAAATCATTTCCTCTTCAGATCTAAGAGACTTGGGCATTCTGAAGTAAGGCTTTGCTTATAAGAAAAAAAGGTGAGCAAAATGTTCATTATTGATACCAGGGAAGAGCTTTGTTGTATAACAGGAATAATAATGACTGAGGTTTATTGTGTACTTACTTTGTGCCAGGGTCTTTTTAAGCATTATTTAATCTTCATTCACAACTGCATGAGTTAGGCACTATTATTATTATTCTGATTTTAGAGCCAAAGAAACTAAGGCACTAGAAGTTAAGTAGCTTACTTAGGGTCACAAGTTAGTACAGTGACTCCCTCTCAACGAGAGTGTTCAGCACACACGACGAATAGTGTCTGGCTAGGTCAGGAAGAAGTTGAGAGCATCAGTGACTGCCCTTTGAGAAATCCAGCCATGTCAGACCAAGACTTACTATTTGGAAAAGTTAAATCAGCTGCTCCTTAGGAATCAGTTGTTTTATTCCTGGAAAATGTTTCCCACTTATTGCAAATCTATATCTGACCTGCTAAGGAAATCATTTGGTGAAATGAATCCAGAAAGCCAAGAAAATGCTTCATCACTTTAAATAGCAGCACTAAGCCCGTTATAGCCTCTAAATTGTCCCTTCTTGGAGTTTGAATGCTTCCAACTTAGTCATTTGGATCAAGAGTACAGTTTCATATGCCCCTACTAATATCTTCATCTACTGCAGAATGTATAATTATTATCTATTTTGAACTATTTATACTACAAAAATTTAAAACAAGTTCCTATCCATATATGTTGTTATTATTTTACCAACATTGTGCTATGTTTTATGATACTTTCTTTTTTCATCTTCTAGAGTTTTTCTCAATTAAAACCTTTTGAACCCAGTTCTCCTGAGTCTATTTTTCTGTTTAAATATAGAGGAACTAGACAAAAAGCATCAGTCGTTTTTACCTTCCTACCCTGAGATACAAGAAGGAGAAGACTTCACCTATGGGTATAATTGGGGACCTGGGCTTGTCCTGCCATCTCATCCTTTCTCTACTTGCTCCACGAGGTGCAGATCTGGGTCTACCTACTTCAGATCTTGAGTTCAAAGCCCAAGCATGTTTGTTGTGTTTTAGCTAACTCAGTCTTTCTCAAATGGTTCTGGGCTCTCCCGGTACTAATTAATTAACATATGATATAGTCTGGGCATAACCAGATATGGATTGTTACTTGTAAGTTATCACTAAAAAGTACACGTGCTCTATTGCCTTGGCCGGTGGGGCTCAGTTAGTTGGTGTTGCCCTGTGCACCAAGAGGTTGCTGGTTTGATTCAAGTCAGGGCACAAGCCCAGGTTGTGGGCCCGATCCCCAGTGTGGGGTATGCAGGAGGTGGCCAGTCAATGTTCTTTCTCATCAATGTTTTTTTATCTCTCCCTCCTTCTCCCTTCCTCTCTCTCTAAAATCAATAACGAAAAAAAAACTGTTTTTTAAAAGTAGATGTTCACTGTTCTTTATTTCAGTGTATCAAGAATCCTTTCAGTTTTGTTCTTTTGTGGACAAGGTTAAGTTATTAACCTTACTTTGAGGCTCTAAGTTTTCAAATGTGTATTTCTTGACTGTGGTACAAGTCTCTATTGCGAGACACACCATGGCTGGGAGAAAGGAACTCGAGGGACCTGGGTCTAGAAATAGCTTTGCCACCTGCTCATGGTGGGAAGGAATCAAGCAAGTCGCTTGTTTTATCTGTACCTCAATTTCCTCAATGGAAAAATAGAAGTAATCATGCCTCCTTTGTGGAGTTTTTAAATCAAACGATGTAAGTGAAAGGTTTTAGGTTGTACAGTGTGGTGCATAGGCAGCTGTCAATTGTGTTTTTGAAGAAAGTGAGAGAGAAGGAGGCAGTGTGATCATGGGTAAGAGTAGGGGCTTTGGAGTCAGGCCGACCTGGGTTTAATGTTCAGTTCTGCTACTCATAGCCCTTTGTCCTGGGCAGGTGTCTTACTCAATTACCTTCTCTATATTTATTTATTGTACTTACTTTATTTTTATTGTTGACACCATTAATTACCTTCTCTTTAAACAGAGATAAAAATTCTTCACAGGGTCAGTATGAAGATTAACTAAACCTATTTAAAGTACCTAGCGTAACCCTGGATGCGTGGCTCAGTTGAGCATCATCCTGTGCATCAGAAGGTCGGGAGTTCCATTCCTGGTCAGGGCACTATCCGAGTTGCAGGTTAAATCCCCTGATCAGGATGTCAGTAGTAAGGAACTGATCAATGTATGTCTCTCACATCAGTGTTTCTCTTTCTCTCCCTTTATTTATTTGTTTGTTTGTTTGTTTGTTTATTTATTTATTTATTTATTTATTTATTTATTTATTTTTATCCTCACCTGAGGACATTTTTGCATTTATCTTCAGATGAGTGGGAGGGAGAGAGGAAGGAAGAGAGAGAGAAACATCGATGTGAGAGAGACACATCGACTGGCTGCCACCCACACAACCCCAACTGGGCCGGGAACAAACTGCAACCCAGGTACGTGCCCTTAGCGGGAACCAAACCCAGGACTCTCTTGTCCACGGGCCGACGCTCTAACCGCTGAGCCAAACCAGCCAGGGCTCCCTTCCTCGCTTTTTTAAAAAAAGAAAAATTGCCCTGGCCGGTTTGGCTCAGTGATTAGAGCGTTGGCCCATGGATCAAAGAGTTGCGGGTTCGATATTCTGGTCAAGGACACGTACCTCTGTTGCAGTTTGGTCCCTGGCCCTCCCTGGTCAGGGTCCTGCGGGAGGCAATCAATGTTTTTTTCTCATATCGATGTTCTCTCACTCCCTCTCTCTCTCTTTCCACCCATTCTCTCTGAAGATAAATGGGGGGGGGGGTCAATAAATAAAGTACTTAGCACAGTATATGAGTATACTAAATGGCAGTTTGGATGATGGTTGTGATGGTAATTATAAGAAATCACCAAATGAGCCCTGGCTGGTTTGGCTCAGTGGTTGGAGCATCGGCCTGTGGACCTCAGGGTCTCAGGTTCGATTCCTGGTCAAGGGCACATACCTGGGTTGCTGTTCGCTCCCCAGCCCTGGTCAGGGCGGTGCAGGAGGCAATCAGTCAATGTATCTCTCTCACATTGATGTTTTTCTCATTCTCTCCCGTCACCCACCCTCCCTCCAACTCTCTCTAAAAAGAAATCAGTGGAGAAAAATATCCTTGGGTGAGGATTAATAAAAAAGAGAGAGAGAGAGAGAGAGAGAAATCACCAGATATGAAATCACCAGTTCAAGTTTGGCTGTTTCTTAAACTAAGGACAAATAGCTGTAGGAACATAGTCATGGAAATAACCACCAGTTTCAGTCTGTATCTTGGTCCTCAAAAATCACTTTTTCCATGTTATATTAATATTTTTTAATAGCTCTCAGAGAAGTAATTGTCTCTGTCCCTCCTCTAAATCAAGTAGCATTACCTCAACACTTCTGGGAAAGCTTATTTATGAGACTTCTCCCTACTTCCTGAGCGCCCCTAGGGAAATTTGATTAAAATATTTTGTTGATCTAGGAAAATGGGTGATTATATAGTAAGCTTCGCTTTGTGTGTTTATGACCATGAACTGATACTTCTGAGTATGTAAAGGGTGACAAACAAGATGAGGAATTAAGGGGGGAAAACAACAATGTCTCATTTCTCTTCATTTTAACAAGAGTGCAACTAAAGATTTCGTAAAACAAAGTGTCCTTGGCCCTGGCCGGTTTGGCTCAGCGGTTAGAGCGTCGGCCTGCGGTCCGGAGAGACCCGGGTTCGGTTCCCGCTAAGGGCACGTACCTCGGTTGCAGTTTGTCCCCGGCCCTGGTTGGTCGTGCGGGTGGCAGCCACTCGATGTGTTCCTTTCACATCGATGTTTCTCTCTCTCTCTCTCTTCCTCTCTCTCCCTCCCACTCTATCTGTACAAAAAAAATGGAAAGGTATCCTCGGGTGAGGATAAAAAAAAACAAAGTGTCCTTGTAAAAACAAGTTCCTCTAGTCCTGCCTTCCCTGTTCCTTCCTGAGCCAAACTGGTCAGATCCCTTCTGAAGCAAACAGCCTTTCCCCTGCAAAAATGAGGAGCCCTCTTCGCACCATTAGGGTCCTTTCTGACTCTGCAAAATCCCAATTCCCATTCCTTTGGGATCTCTCATTCTTTCAGCGTGAGCCTCGTGGGCCAGACCCAGCACATCGTGCTGTCATGTCAGGCCCCAAATTGCCTGTGGATAATGCCAACATCCAGGAGAGCTGACTCTTACTGGATGTAACTATAGGCTTTAGCACTATCAAGATGATGAACAAATCATTCTAGCATCCAACATAAATTCTATATTTCATTTCTTCAGGGAAGCAATTTGTCTCTCCAGTTATTGCTCTAAAATCAGTGCTGCCCCCAGAACCCACACCCCCATGTTGGCTTTATGAGCGTGAATCTTGAAAGGCTTGAGTTTTCAAGAGTCAAGGGCAACCTTAATGTAGCAGGAGACCCCACAGAAGGGTGCCTGGGGATTCCTGTTATAATGCTCAGTTACCCTTTTGAAATAAAGCACCATCGCTGACATCACTTTAGTTGAAGGTCAGACAGTGAGGGTCCTTAACCTCTGTTCCACACTTGCTTTTCAGATGATACAAGTGCTTAGAAAATCGGTATGGGAACATCACAGGAGAAGTATTCCCCCTCAGCTTTGGGGTTCTCAAGCAGTGTTCAGTTTGGAGAACTGTCCCTTCAGAGCTTCAATAAACAGAAGTGAAATACTCCATCTTAGCAGTCAAAGAAGGAAAGGTGAAATGAGAAGTTTCCAGGGAGAGGTTTGTGGGGCAAAGTGACAGGGCATTGGCCTTTCGGCAGGTGTCTTTGCCAGAACATGCCGGGACCTGGCGGCGGCGGCGGTGTTCTTGGAGCATGCCTGGACTAGAGGAGGAATCGGCACCGTCCTCACAAAGCCATTTCAGCAGAACTCCGGTCACAGAGAACAGCTCTCACGCTGGCAGGCTGGCAGTCAGACAGTGGAGAGAGGCCCTCGCCCATCCCCACCCTCGGAAGAAAAAAAGTGAAACCAATTGTTCGTGTCTAAACCAGTTCGTCTTGTGCCCAACTTGGTAAATATGTGAGCCTGAGAAAGACAAAGGTGCCATGTGAACTTTATAAAGGAGGCAGAGTCAGCCCAGCAAAGGATCAAAAACAAGTGCTGCTCAGCCAGGTGACCAGGAAACAGACAAAGTGCCCTTTGCGTACCAGTAACTGTACCCTCCACGCCCTTGCTGTAGTGAGTGTTCACGGGATTGGCTTCCCAGGAAATTCATGGGGTGGGTAATATTTAATTGCCCAGTATCCACAGTGATAGTGACGTCTTCCTGCCGGGAATCATTACCTACCTTCCTAGTACTCCCAACCAAATGGCCCATTGTGTCCCTTCTCTTTACCCCCTGTTATCGCCTCCTTTCCACAGTTCTGGAGAAGAGCAATAGAATAATAACACAATTTACTTTCCTGCAACTCCACTGACTCCACAGACCTTGACCCGAGCCTGTCCCCTCAGTCAGAGCCTCCTTCTCCTAAGCCTTTGTGTGTCACCAGCTCCTCAGACCCACCTGCAGTTTGCACCATCCCTGCCCCCGTCAAGGAAGGAGACACAGAGCCTGGCCGTTTCACACCTGCCCTTTATTGGACTCAGCTAGCAGGCTGGCTCGGAGCTCTTCACACGTCTCAGACACCGCCCGTCCAGGTTTAGGGAGGTGCCGTCATTCTGTGAAGGCCCAGAGCCCACCCAGGAGTTGGAGGCCCAAGTTGAATCACCAACCAGAAGGTTGGGAGAGAAAAAGGAGCAGGCAGATAGGAAAGGCAAGGCTCTTCAAAAAGGAGACAGGTCTCAAGGGAAAGCTTGGGTTCAGCAGCATTTCCTGAGGACACACTGCATCCGAAGGAAAGATGCTCGGGGCTTTATGGAGCAGAGATCTGAGCGGAGCAGCCCATAGCTATATGGCAACTTTGAGAAGGCGCTTGATGTCGGGCTCAATGTTGGCCGTGGGGAAGGTGCGGCTGTAGCGGCGGAAGGGCTCCCCCTCCGGCCCGATGAGGAACTTCTCAAAGTTCCAGGCCACATCTGAGCGGCGCACAGGGCTCCAAATGATGAACTTGGGATCGGTCATGAGAGAAAATGGGTCATCGTAAGGGTAGGGGAGCTTGTCCTTCAGGTAGGCGAAGACCGGATGCTCGTTCTGACCATTCACCTCACACTTCTGGACAAGGGTAAAGGTGGGCTGGAATCCACCCCCGGGGCGGACATGCTTGAGACTGTTGAGGATCTCCTCATTCTGACAGTTCTCCTGGGGGAGGAAGAACACAAAGAGCATGGGAAAAGGAAGGAGGAAACGCAGGGTCACAACATGCAGCCCTTTCACTGTCCACACTGTTCCCAGGGCCATCCTTTTCCATGTATCTTCCCCCTCTGGTCCTTTTCTCCCTTCTTCGTTTGTTTTGTCCTGCTCTCGACTCGGACTGTCCCCGCTCAGCCATGGATGTTTTGCTGGGCCTTTCCTGAAGGTTTTTGCAGTTTCGAGCTGTGCTGTTCTTATGCTGACAGATTTCACATTTTTGAACTGTTGCTTCTGTCTCCAGTCTACCCTGAGCAGTTCTTAGGGCATCGGTCTGAAGCTTCAAGGAAACAGGTTCCGGGCAGTAGGAAGGGGAAGGAGGCTGGGGTCCTACTGCCTAGGTCCCTCCTCCCACCTGCCTCCCACACATGGCTACACACATCCTGCCACCACCTCGCCCTGCCTCTGCCCTGGTTTTGCCTCTGTTGCTTCTAATTATATGTGAGTGTTGAGGCCTTTTCTGCCCTACTCAGCTCCTCAAGCTAAGGGTGACATTGAGGACTAGGGGAATGGGACTCACAGCTTCTCGCTTTCTTTCTTTTTTTTCTTTTTTTTAAATCCTCACCCGAGGACATTTTTCCATTTTTTGTTCAGATAGAGCGGGAGGGAGAGAGAGGAAGAGAGAGAGAGAGAAACATCGACGTGAAGGGACACATCGAGTGGCTGCTACCCGCACGACCAACCAGGGCCGGGGACAAACTGCAACCGAGGTACGTGCCCTTAACGGGAACCGAACCTGGGGCTCTCCGGACCACAGGCCGACGCTCCAACCACTGAGCCAAACCGGCCAGGGCAACTTCTCGCTTTCATCTTGCCCCGTCCTGTATCTGAAGTGTCAGTAGGAGGAAGCTTTGATGAAGGAAGATGCCACCCAAGGAAGTCTAGTTTTCAGGTGCCACAAAGGCAGAGTGAGTTACAGACATCAGTGAATGTATTCTAAATGTAATTACTCCGTGACTAACAGGGATGAATGAAATGGGATGGAGGGTTTAGGGTTCTGGAGTAGGCCGGGGAATGGCGGCGTTAAGTGCTTGAGGGCTAAAGGTTGGCAATGTGTGATTATCATTCCTTTCGCTTCTTGACTGCTCTCCCAAGACTCCTGCCCCTTGCACTCACGCACTCTGCTCAGCTATGAATGCTGTAGTCTGAACCCGTTACCCGTCTTCTCTCCCTGCTGCCATCACTGTTCTGTCCCCACTCCTCATTCCCCACCCGTGAGCCCCCAAAGGCCCATGGAAACCCGTATTTTCCACTCCCTCCAAGTCTAAGAGTCAGATATCTCCCTCTGGGAGAAAGTCCCTGCTTCTGACCTACTAGAACCAATTAGTCCAGTCAGTTCTAGGCCGTCATGACACCGTGAGCCGGAGTTGATCTCTATTAGACTTCTTATCTCTAATGCAAATGGCTGTCTGGCTCCAGGTAGGTTATGGACTCCCTCCAGCAACTAGCTGGCCTGAAGTGATGGTATGAGGCTGGAGGCACCTCTAGGGCCAGACAGACACCTCCAAAGAGGCTTTGTTTTGTCCTTTCTATCTCTCCTGCTTTGGCCAAGCCTAAAAACAGACTGAAATGGGGAAGGAACAGTCAGAGCAGTAATGGTTTGGGCTCAGATTTGTCACAGCCAATGGCATTTCAGCCTTCCTGCATATAGTCTGCTAATCTCTTCCTTATCTTCGTGCCACTAGGAATTGATTTAAGGGGATTATAATGAGAGGGTTCAGTTGAAGATATTCTGCCTGCTTGTACTGTTAAAATAATGTATGAAATAGAAGAATCCCTAAAAGATAGTGTGGGCTGAGGAGTGTGGGCTGCAGATCTATAACAACTTGGCCTATTAATCAGAGACAGAGAGGTGTGTGTGACACCCAGAGGAGACACATGCATGCTGCACACCCTTAGCTTCCCCCCAGATTCACTCTCCACTGGTTGCTTTCTTTCTAAATAATTTTTCTTTATTGATTTTAGAGAGAGAAGAAGGGGGAGGGAGAGAGAGATCGATGAGTGAGAACATCGATTGGCTACCTTCTGCATGCCCCCCACTGGGGATTGGGCCCACAACCTGGGCATGTGCCCTGACTAGGAATCAAACCAGCAATCTCTTGGTGCATGGATTGACACTCTACCATTGAGTCACACCAGTTGGGCTCCACTTGGCTGCTTTCAAACAAACAAAAGTCTTTAATCTAAATAGTAGAGTTGCTTGCATTTGCATATTATTTTATATCTTTCAAGTTACTTTTGTATATCTATTTTTTTTTAATCCTCACCTGAGGATATTTTTCCATTTATTTTCAGACAGAGTGGGAGGGAGAGAGAGATAGAGAGAGAAACATCGATGTGAGAGAGATACATTGATTGGTTGCCTCCCGCCTGACCCTGACCAGGGCCAGGGACCGGGCTGCAACCAAGATACATGCCCTTGATCGGAATCGAACCCGTGACTCTTTGGTTTTTGGGCTGATGCTCTAGCCACTGAGCCAAACTGGCCAGGCCTACTTTTGTATATCTTATCCTCAGAGCCTCACAATAATCCTATAAAATAATTGGTATTATCCCAAATTTACAGATGAGGAAACTAAAACAAAAAAAATTGAGTGACTCTTCCTAGGGCACAGAGACATTAAATAGCAGAACCAATACTAGCTAGAATTAAGGTCTCCTGAGCAGTTCAATCCTCATTTGATTCTTGATCTATCTCCTCCTTGCTTTCAACCAGCAAATATTTAATGATTACCTTCTATACCGTAAGTGCTGATGATACAATGGAGAGCAAACCAGACCTGGTACCAGCCCTCAAGGACTATAGTGGAAAGACAATAAACAATAAAAATCCACACCCTCAGCCTTTAATCACAGACAGAATCATATATACTTTCCCTTGGTAGTCACAGTACTAACAAAACATACCCCACGATTCCAGACACTCCAACACACACAGTCTTTCCCCTCCCCTTAGCCTGCTAGACAACCCAACTCCCTGAGTGCAATACAAGGGCCCTCTCACCTGATGTCCAAATTGGTTGCAAGGGAAGCCAAGCACCACCAGGCGCCTGGGAAAGCGGCATTGCAACTCGTTGAGCTGGGTGAAGTCCCGGGTGGTTGTGCCTCAGAGCGATGCTACATTCTCAATCAGCACAGCCCTGCCTCGGAATGTATTAAAATCTACCTTCTCCCCATCCAGGCTGATAGCAGTGAGGTCATAGAACGACTTGGCAATGTAAGCCATGGTGGAAGTTCAGGGTGAGCCTGGCAGAGTGGTGTGACCCCACTTTAGGACCTATTAAAGGAGTGGGGAGAGAGGAGGAGCCTGGAAGGACAGGAAGGATCTCACAATGGGGCTTTGAGCATCCCCAGGATGACTAAGCAAAAACACTCACCCACCTGCGAGGGCTGTTTGAAGGAGGAGGTTGCCTCCTATTTACAGACTAAACAAAGCCACCTTCCTGCCCCACCCTGCTGGCAACCTGGGAAGGGCCAATTTGATATCTATGAACAGACTTGAATAATTCACTGCGTGCAGGAAACCAGAGCCCCAAAGGTTGCCAAGGAGGAAAAAAGGGAGGGAGGGACTCAGAATTGACTCCTACTCGCTCTAGCAAGTTGTTTTCGCATGGCGCAGACATTTATTGATTGAGCCCCTGCTGAGTGCCAAGTTCCGAATCTGTGCAATGGAGAAGTCAGGGTCTGCTGAGACCTGAAAGGGGAGGAAGAGAATTGGGGCATGTGTCCCCTTGACTGAGACTACAACTGAAATCTACATATTACTGTTACAGTTTTCTCTTTGGCTGCTGCTTTCCACAAAATCCAAGGGATCCTTAGGGCACAGTGCATGCTCTTTATAAAATAATGGCTCTCGGTGCCTCAGCTTGCACCAGACTAAAGAGATGAAGCTGTGTTTGTCTTGCAAAGTCTTCCAGTGAGTGAGGTTACTGGGGCTCAGAGCACATCTGCCCCTGCCCCTACCCCTGCATTGTGCCACCTCCTCTTCTATAGCCCTGACGAGCCAACTCAGAAAGAGTCTGGAGGCCTTGCTAGAAATAAATAATAGAGATTTATCCAAGGGACTTGGAGTTTACAAACTGGGAACACAGCTAGGCAAAACCCCAGGAGTGTTCTGAAGAAGAAAGAAAAGTTCAAAATTCTTGTAGAAAAAAGTACATTATTGAGAAATATCAGTCCTGCATTCTTAGCCCCAGGATTGGTCCAGAATGTTATCAGTCAGATGCCAGGCAGTCAGGATGATGGATGCCGGGTGGTCAGGAAGATGGGACCCAGAGGTCCAGTCCTGGTGATCTGGATAAGGGATGTCAGGTGGATGTATAGGTAGGTCTTTCAGGGGATAATAAGAGGGTCACCTGGAGGTCCAGATGTATAGAGTGAGATTAAAAAAAAAAAAAAAAAAGTTTAAGTTCCCAGGCTTGTTAGAACAAGAATGGAGTATTTCCTCATGCCACAACTTTCATAACATTAATGGTTTTAGCAGGTTGGTTAAAATGACTTCATTTTATATATTCCTTATCTTGACTCTTTCTTCACTCCACACCCGCCCTCATGGGGTGGTGAGGATGCAGTCAGTTGTGTCCAGGTAAGGATGACAGAAGTCACACAGCAGCTGGGAATCTCCGAGGGGATGTCTACACCTACCTCTTCTCAGACAAAGGCTCAGTCCCACAGGCTTTCCAGAAGGGTTGTGCTGGTCATGCCCCCACAGAACATATGCAGGGGGTCAAGCTGCTAGGGTTCTAGATGCAGCGACGCCTCCCATGATGTTTTCAACACCAGCCATGCAGTGTATTGCAGGCCACTGGGGACCTGCTAAGGATTCTCATGGTGCGAGCCCACCCCTGGAAGCCATAGAAACCGGAAACACCTAATGCTTCTCTTCATTCCTCCAAGCACTCACCAACTCAACAAGTCACTTGCTTTTTTAATACCTGGATTTCTCCATCAGTAGAACTGGCAATTAGGCTTTATCTGGCTTTGGGATTTTAGAGTGAGATTTCAATAACAATGCAAATGTTTACGCGAAACTGTTTCCACAGGTCCAGGTCCATTGGGAGCTGTCTCCCAGAACAAAGAATGGGCAGGGCTGGCAGCAGCTGGGCTCGAGAAGCTGCTCTGTTGAGAAAGTGGAGAATCACTCGCCAGCGAGTGCCCAGCTTTTCGTCTTCTCTAGCCTGGCCCGTGGCTGCTTACAGCACGTGGGAACCCACGCGTCTCAAATGGCTGCTTCCTAAAAACAAGCCCCCACTGCCTAAGTGGGAATGGAACTTTTGGCCAGGGGAAGAGGTAGCAGGAAATCCAGGATGAAGTGTGTCCCCTGCTGACGCTGGAGTTCCCAGAAGCAGCCCATAAATGTCCCTACCAAGCCACTGAGTCAGAAGGACTTGGCCTTGACAGAGGGCTAAACTTTAACACAGACTTTCCGGACTTCCGTGCAAGCCTAGAGCTTCCCCAGTACTCTCTGGGCTTTAGACACCTTTTATCGGCTGCCCTTCTATGACCTCTCTCCAGGAGGGCCATGGAAGTTCCTGAGCTGAGGGGTGGGGGTTCCCCCTCCCTTAGGTATAAGCCATTCGTTTTCTCCAGGTACAGCCCAGGACCCTTTGAGTGACCCAGGTTCTCACCTTTCACAACTGAATTAAATTGATAAGCTTCTCCTAAAATTCCTCAGTCCAACCTCGCTCAAACCAGCCCACCTTCCAGAAGCTTGTAACTGGTGACATGCACCAAGTGCAGGATTCCCACGGCTTCCCACATGGACAGCTGTGTTCTGGAAACCGCACGGGCTTAGCAGGCAGAAAGCTTAGGGCGGTGGTTCTCAACTCGGGCTGTACGTGGGCTTTGCTTTTAGAGATTTCTGTAAATAGAGACAGCAAAGCTTCCCCAGATTTCGATGTGGTTGTCTCTAGCCACGATTCTGCCAGTTACTTGGGGCCCCTAGGCACCTGTTTCTTTATCTGTTGAACCAGGGTAAAGATAATCACCCCTCTTATCTCACAGACGTGATCGATGGGATTGAGGAAATAAAGTTTTCCAAGTGCTCTGTAAACTGGAAAGTGCTGGTTAAGATCTTAGACTATGACCTTGCCTTGTTGCCCTTCCCCTCCCTCCTCCTCCTTTTTTTTTTCAAACAAAAACTCTTTATTTTTAAGAAAAGAGTGTGTTATCCCATTTTCTATTCTTGGCATAAATTTTAATTCTTTCCAGAGGAACCAAAACCTCCTGAACCCCCATTAGTGTGGTCCAAAGCTTGAACCTCCTCTCTTTCTGGATAAAAAATCCATTCACACATGAGCTGTGCAATTCGGTCACCCTTTTTCACTTCAAACTTTTTTTTGCCAACATTAAGCAGCACAACACCAGTATTTCCTCTGTAATCTGCATCTATGACACCAGCCCCTACGTCCGTGAAGTTTCGCAGCCAAGCCAGGACGTGGAGCTCCTCTTCCGTGGCACCCAGGACGAGCGGTCCGAGCGTCGGTTTTCACGAGGGTTTTCTGCGTGCGTGGTGCTGTGTAATCACAGGCTCGGTGCAGGTCCTAGGCCGCGGCCCCCGACCCCTGGTAGGGCAGTGGCCTGTTCCGAGCTGAGAGCGGATGCAATGGAGCCTCGTGCCACCCTGCTCCGCAGGCCGGGCCACTTGTCGCTTGCCAGGGAGACGGGGAGTGTCTCCTCGGAGCACCCCACGGTGAGCAGAACAGGCGGAGGTGGCAGCGGGGGAGACAAAGGGGCGCAGAATCTCACTGCTTCCTTCTTCAATTGATCCTTCTCTCCAAACACTCTTTGCCTCTCCCATTAACTGTACAGTACTCAACAGCCACCACCACCTAGACCGCCACCATCCAGTCCGCCTTGCTCCCCTGGACTCGTCAGTCACTGGGCTGGGTTGAACTTCTGAAAGATGACTTACTCCCTCCTCATGCCTTCAGGAAGGCCTGTTCCTGTTCCATCTGACAGGGGAGAATCCTCTTAGCTTTCAAGACTCCCTCAGACACAGACCTTCATCATCCCAATGATTCTGCTGGGTCTCTCCTGCAGTATAAGCCCATCGCAGAGCAAAGGGGGCTTTGCTTGGGGCTGCCCTGCAGCGGCATTGGGGAGACCCGGGATGGAAGACGTCTGCCCCTGCGTTTGGGTCCTGGAGCCTCTCCCCTTAACTGCCAGGGTCCGAGTGAGACCCACTCCCAGGGACTCATACAGGCATCCACACCTGTGGTTTGAAGTATTCTTTATTTTGTAAACATCTGTGTTTAAAATAGATGAACCCTGCACACAATTCATAAACTGGACCCGAGACACAGTACACAGAGTTCACCCGTCACAGGGAGATGGTGGGGCTCAGGAGCAGGTGGGGGCCTGGGGCTGGGCAGAGTCTAGGACAGCAGGTACGGAGGTGTGAGGAGTAAACAGGCAGGAGCACCTGCTCAACAGTCTGGGCCCAATGCCCGACCTCAGGCCACCTCCTGGACTGAGTTCAGGGGTGAGAGGCCGACTCTGGGACCTGGGGAGTGTAACTGCACCCTTACATCCCAACCCTCCTCTGGCTCCCACACCTTCCCCAGCTGCGGCGCTGGAAGGGGGCTAATCGAGCCGTAGAATCTGGACTCCTTGTTTTCCCTCCCAGAACTGCTGGGGCAGTTAGAACAGAGTCCCCCAGCCCTGAGGGTTAGGAGGAAGGCAGGGGTGCTCCGCCTGATCTCCAGGGACCTGCAATACTGACCCACAGGTCGGAGCCCATGCGAACAGGACTCCCCTCTGAAGTCTGGGCTGAGGGCTGGCACTATGCCCTCCCCACCACCAGGGGGATGCTGTGTCCTGACACCCGAGGACTCAGTCCTCAAGGAGCATCCCTAGCCATGATCATAACTACATCCTAGAGTCAGCTACATTTCTCATTAGCCAAGGACTTAAATGTATCCCTGTTCTCCTTTTCCTTCCTCTGTGCTAACCTGCCCCCATTCCTGCATCCCGAGCCTCCCTCTTCTGCTGCCTCCTGTTCGGAGAAGAGTCTGGTGGTCAGGTTCGGTGATTTCATCCACCCACCCTTTTTGGACTCAGGAGGTGGGGCTCCTAATCCTTCACATGGGTGTGCCCTGGATTTTGGCCCTCAGTCAGGGAATGTTCAACGCCCAGTTGTTCATTGCAGCTCCAGGCCCAGCCATGCAATGTGGCAAATATGTAGCTTAAGAACATCCTCCTACTGAGGATGGTGGGGAGCAGCCCTACTAGGGCTGGAAACTGACTTGTCTCGTCCTTAAACGGCCTTCTTCAAGCTACTCTTGGGCCCTTTATGGTTAAAACGCTTCCTGAACAAAGCGCTGGAGCCCTCGTCCACCGGAGGCCACGGTTCCTTCCTTCCCCCAGATACTGCTCTCTACCCACAACTCTGGGTCTCAGGACAGCTCGAGCGAAGGCTGGTTCAGTGAAGGCCCAGCTCACCTGCCAGGGAGTCGTGGGGAAGTGCTCTTCTCATAAAGGACTGGAAGATGGGGCCCAGGGAGCCCGTGTTCCCCTTTGGTTTGCACACTGCCGTCCCCGGCCTGCTCTTAACCTGACATCTAGGAACTAGTCCTTCATCTCCAAATCCTCCTTTCTGGAGGGCGCAGCTGGCTCGTCCGGCACTCCCTGGGGCTCACCTCGCCCCGGCAGCCTCAGGCTTTGGTTCCTTTCATTCAGGAGCCCAGGTGGGGAGAAATCATGTACATGCTGCATGGGAGGTAGAGAATCGAGGTGACGTTTTAATCCCTGCCACCCCTTGTCGTTTGTTTTCTTCTCTGAATCACCTGCCTCCAAGCCCAGTTCCCCAAGAGGCAGGTGGCAGGTAGCCAGGCAAAGCCAAAGCTGGAGGCGGGCAGGGAGAGGTCGGCAGCCCCAGGCTGAGGGCCACGTCTGGCGTTTCCAGCTTGATGTTCCACTTCCCAGATCACTGGCGAGGTGGGCTCATGGCACAAGGACCATGGGGAGGAGAGATGAGAAGCACCCCGTCGCCTCTGGCCCACCCACCGAGCAGGGTGGGGGTTCTCCCAGGAGCAGAGATGGAACGTCCCCGTGGCCTGAGTCCTCCCCATGGACAGGGTTAGGGAGAAAGGAAAGAAAGAAGCTGCCCCAGCAGCCACAACACAGGACGCACAGGGAAAAGGGTCTGAGGGAAAGGGAAGTGGGAAGAAGAGAGAAAAAGCAGACGGGAGGCAAGACGCACTGAGAAGGAGCCTTAAGGTGGCCTTGACCCCGGACGCCGCTGTCTGGGGTGCTCTCGGCACACCTGGGGCTCCTAGCAGGCCTGCGGCTGGGGAAACGGCTGACGGATACCACTCGGGGTGAGGGCTGGGGGCAGAGGCTGCTCAGAGATGACGGCAGAGCCCCGCAGGGCCAGGCAGGGGTCGCAGCTGCTGATGTTCCACAGGGTCACCCAATGAGAGAAGCAGGGCAAAGCCCAGACGCCCCGTCTGCCCACAGGCCTCCTGAGGGGTGGGGGGGATTTGTGGGTGCTCCATGCAGGACCCTCAGCACCAGCAAGTTTTTGAAGAGTTCACTGGGCCCTCAGGTTTGCTCTCATCCTCCTCGAGCTCTGCCAGCGCCAACTCTTTGCTGGCACGTGTCCGGAGACCATCCAGCTCCTTCCTGTGGGCCTGCAGCACCAGCTCTGTCAGACGCGTGAAAGACTGGGGAAGACCAAGCGCACCGGTTAGCCCAGTGTTTCCTCCTCTTGCTCATGCAACCCTGCAACTGCCCACGGGCGAGGTCGTCTTATCTCGGCTCTATCTGCCACCTTCTCCTCTTGCTTCCCCGCTCGGCCTGGCCAGAGGCACAGGGCACCTGGGCTTCAGAGTCCTCACCTCTTTAATGTTGAGGTTGGTGCAGGCACTTGTTTCATAGAAGTCCATGCCGTACTCCTTGGCCAACTGCAAGAAAAGAACATTCCTGAGAGGGAGGCCGCGAGGGAAGGGTGGTGCCCAGAGCACCTGGCACATACTTCTGCCATGGCCCTCAGCCCATGCTGTGCTGGGACAACTTCTCAGAGCAGGTACCTTCTCAGATGAGGCTAAGAGCTCCTCTAAGACAGGCTAGTACAGACATGCATACACATCCAACATACGTCACACGTCAGGAGACAAAGACACCAAAATGTTGTGGTAATACTGCAAATTAATGAAAAACATGGCTTTGGAGGTCAAGAGACCCAGACTTGGACATCAGTGCTGGCACAGAACAGCTGCATGACCTTGGACAAGGTGCTTATGCTAAGCCCCAGCTCCATGATCTGTTAACAGGGGATGCAGATGACAGCCCCTATCACCAAGGCCGTGGAAGGACTAAATGAGCTCATGATCACAGAGCACTTGCTTAGCACATACCATGCTCAATAAGCACTATTATTTCAGTCGGGTCTGCTTCTACTTTCAGATTCTTCAATGACTTTTTATTACTTTTTTAATACCAAAACAAAATAATAATACATTTTATCTTAAGTCTGAGGAATGCTGCTGACTGACAAGGTAGGAAAAAGCTCCCGAGGCCCTTGGAGCAGATGGATGACTTGTCTCGGTGGTGTCTGTCTTTCTTTCTGTCCTCTGGGAGGATGGTCTCCCTTATGCTTGGACATCCCCTCAGCGCCAGCCTCCTACCCTCGCTGCCCCCATGGCTTCTCCGACTATGGGCCCTTCATTCCTCCCTCACCTTCCTACCTCTTTCCAGGTATGAGGAGGACGGGGTGGGTGTGGAGGGGGAGGACTGTGAGAGGAGGCGATGCCTGGATGATGTTAGAGAGGAAGTCTGCAACCTGAGGTCCTTCCTCGTCACTAACACGGATGAGCTCTTAAGCAGAGACAATCTTGCTCTGAGGGACTTGGAGCTGGGAGAGTTGCTTTCCGAGAGGTCTTTGCGTCAGGATGGACCCCAAATCACTGTCCCGAAGGACAGACAGCCAACCCTCAAGGATGGCAGCACAGCCGGGCCTGAGCCTACCGCAGGAGTGAGTGCCTGATGTGGCGATGGAGTCCTGGGCCCCGCTCTCATGACGGGAGCAGAACACCCCAGGGCTGGACTCGGCCAGCTCCCTCCCACTTACCTGCTGCCCTTGCTCTCTCCCCACCTGCCGTTTCTGCTCTTCATCGGCCTTATTCCCGATAAGGATCTTCTGGACCCCTTCTGGTGCATACTAGGGACAAAGGACAGGCAGAAACACCAGTGAGCACTGCCTTTCCCTCCCATCTCCCCACCGCACAGTCTCCACAACAGCACCTAACGAAGGGCCCTAGGGACAGGGTGGGCTGACCGGGTGCAGGTGCCAGGGAAGCCACGGGAGCAGCTTAGGGTAGGAAACACTCTATCTAATTCTGAGGAACTCTCCACCCTAAATGATGGATAACTGGTATCTGAGCTCGATAGGTCACTGGACTTAAGTCCAACTCCTCATTCCACAGATAAGGAACTGTGGATGCAAGAGAGTTCCAACGGCTTGCCCAAGGCCCCACGGCCACCACGGCAGAGGCAGGACTAGAATCCCACCAGTCCTGACACTTCGGGGTAGAAGCTGTTCACAGGGTAGGAACAGCCATGGGCGCCTGAGGGTACAGAGCACGGAGGGCATGGCAGCTCGGGCTTCTTCTCCATGTCGTACTTACCCAGAGGTCTTCATCCGGGGCTGTGGAAGGCAAGCTTTCCTGGTAGCGTTTGCTCGCCAACCCAAGAGCTTCGGCCTTTCCCATCGGGCCCCCCTTCGCCCTCCCCTCTGAGGTGCCCTCCCCCACCCCAACAGTGAGGCGGCATCTCCTACCTCGTCCACATCACTGACCCACTTCATGATGTGCTGGTAAGAGCGCTCGCTGCTAATGTCGTAGACTAAAAATATTCCCTGAGAGAGAGCAGGAGAGAGAGTTGGGGCAGGTGGCGCACACAGGGACTGCACAGGCATGGGGCCAGAAGCGGGGTGGTGCCTTACATGCTGGGTCCCATTCTCCCTGCTCTCTGCTTAGCTAATGAGGACCCCTCGGCATCCAGAAATATATTCTGCCTCAGACCCCAAAGCTATTGCTTCCTAGCTCCACCACAGAGCTCTCTGAGGCAGGAGGCACCAAATACTTGGACCTGGGTCTGTGGCCCAGGGTGAAGGAGGGTGAGGGTGGGGGACCTGCCTGCAATGGGTGTTCAGAGAACAAACTGATGAATGAATGGTTGAGGAACAGCTCAGACTGCCCAGCAGGCAATCCGAGGGCCCTGTTTTGGGGGTGAGTGACAGATATCTCAAACACCCAGAGCCGGGAGTGTGGGTGGCAGCATCCCACCTCTGAACCCTGAAAATGGCGGCTCACCTGGGCCCGTCGATAGTACTGCTTTGTGATGGTCTGATATCTCTCCTGCCCCGCTGTGTCCCTGCAGTAGAAAGCCAGTCCCTCAGAAGAGCAGGGACCACAGAAGCAGGTGAGAAGGGAGGAGCAGGAGCTGAGAGACCCTGTGCCCATGCAGGAAAAACTGGGGAGCTGTAGGGTGAAAAATCAGTGGTGCTTTGGTCCCTCAGGGGATCTGAACATGCTGAGTCTGCAGGAGAGATGCCTGGTCACATGGTGCTGACAGGGCTCTTGGGGCCTTGTCCACTACATCTGCGCCCGAAGCCACAACCATAATGGGGCCTTGACAGCTCTCTCTAGAATTCGCCCACTGTGGCCAGAATGGTTGGACTGCTCCACCGCCAGACCCCGGGGACCTCTGAAGGCAATGCCCATACTACTCTGCAATGGGAAAGCAGCGCCACACGCTGGCCGAGGCAGTGAGTGCGTCCCGGGGCGGCAGGCCGGAGCCACAGCGGCCCCCTGTGGCTACTTGTGAGAACTGCATCGTGCTGCCCTTCCTCCTTCCAATCCTGCTGGGAGGCGGCACAGCCCAAAGAAAAAGCGTTATTCTATGACAAACCCACAGTGTTTAGTCTGCCAATTCCTCTAAGTCCTGCCTTTTGGTGACTTGTGGTCAATCCCATAACGTTTCTTCAGGACGAGATCAGATATTAAGGGAGCAGGAGATGGGCGTTGAGACTTCCATTTCTCTCCATCCAACAGGTAGCTGGTCGTCCCAGAGGAAGCCTCGGGATTTTACACGACAGTGGCAGCTGGAGGCAGCCCGAGTCCTCCCCTCCCACCCAACTCACCAAATCTGTATGCGCACTTTGATGCCATCAACCTCTATGGTCTTCATCTTAAAATCAACACCTGGGAAAGGAAGAGAGCAAGAAAGTTGGGAACTGAGAACCCGCCGGGAACTGAACAGGAAGCCTGGGGCACTGGCTCTTGAAGGGTTCTCCTCTGCTCCTTTCTCCTCGAGCTGAAAGGTGCCAGCAGTAAAGGGCTTGGAAGTGAATATGGGGGAATCCACTCCATCACTGCCTCAACCCCAAATGTGTCTCACTCACTCACACGTGACGTCTTCCCAGTTATACTTCCAGAGAGAACCGCTGTTTTTCCCTCCTGGGAGTCTAGTTCCTAGGAACCGCATCTACCCCGTGGGCCTGGGGTTTTCTCTCTCTGCCTTATTTAGCCTGGAGGGGCTATAGCACTGTCATGAATGTGGGGAAGGCACATGGACCCTGGAGAGAGGAGGACTGGTTCCCAAGGAGACGGCCTGGTGGGTCTGTTGTTGACTAACTGGTTTACTGTGGGAGGCACTGTTTGCTGGGAGCCTGGGCTTTGAAGTCAGGCCTGAGCTTGAATTCGGATTCTGGCCACTTAACTCACAGCTATGACTCTGGGCATCTTGCTTCTCTGAGGCTCCATTTCCTCATCTGTACAGTGGAGACATTACCCGTTGTTTCTGAGGGTCGGGGAGAAGACCAGTGACATACAGTGCCAGGCACCTGTTGGCTCGTCAGTCAAGTGCAGCCATCATTATGCCCTCGTACTGTCCTGGTCACAGTGGGAGCCGGGGAATGATGCCAAGCACCAGATGAAGAGGCAGTGGCCCAGCGTGGGGTTGGGGAGGGGCGAGGAAGACACGGGTCTCAGGCTTGAGGAGCTGAGCTGCCAGAGGGGACAGGACACACAAGGATTTGGCAAACCAGCCCAGGGCAGAAACACATTTGGGGAAATTTACAGCAAGAGAAGTCAGCAGCAGCAGCAGCACCAGGCTTGAATCGGAGTGATGACAGAGGTTTTTATCACTGCACCTCTCCCCAGCTCTGACTGTGCCCAGTGATTCAGGAGCTGTGTCTAGTAGGTTAATTAAGCTTAAGTCTCCATGTTCTCCTTGGAGACAAGTCAGGAATGGACACCATTAACGAGTCTGCAGGTGGAAAACGTGGGAAAGGCAGAGTTCTGGACCGCAGCCCCCAAGCTACACAGCACGGCCCCGAAGACCCCAAAGGTGCCAGGATTCCTCACTCGGCTGCCACGCTACCTGCGCATTACTTCTTTGCCAACGGGATCACTTCTGCCCTTATCCTGTCCCCAGCTTCCCACAAATTCCGACAGATTAAGTTCAGGCTCTTCCCTCTCACCATCGAGACCAATCATCATTTAATTAGAGGGAGAAAAGGTTCAGAACCGACCACCTGAACTGAATTGAGTTGGTCAGACGTGAATCATTTCTCCTTCCCACGCGGATTCCTATCTGTGGAGCTGTACTTTTCCAGGTGGACAATGCCTGGCAGCCATGCTTCCAAGTGCACTGAGAGGGGAAGAGAAGGGCGAGGCGGGAGGGGGCGCCTGGCCTTGGGGGGCACTAGCATGCCCGTGCCCATGCCCTCCCTAGACAAACAGTGGTGGAGAATTTGCCTCTCCCCAGTGCCTCGCATAGAAAGGAATCAAGAAATTCTTGTTTTTTCACAGTACAGTGCCTTCTTCCCAGGAGAACTAGCAAATTTGTTCATTTTATCATAAACCTAGCTCACCCCCAGACTAGCCAGCAAACCTGGCCAAGACGGTCCCTTGTGCAAAGTGGTCACAAGGCCTAGGGGTGAGGGTGGAGACAGAAGGCTCTACTTCCTTCATTCCACAAACTTCTGTGGAACTTCCCTTGTGACCTGCACAATGCCAGGTGCAGAGAGTAGCCAAAATGACATATGTCCCCTGCCCCTACAGACCTGCGAGGGAGGGGAACAGAGGCCCAGGGAGAGAGATAACTAGCCCAAGGTCAGCACAGCCACAGCAGAGGCCTGCGTGGGACCACAGCCCATGCCACGGCCCCTTGCACTGTTTCTTGAGAGAAGGGTGGATAGTTGTGTGCTAACTAGGCACAGAGGCCTTGGCGATGGTTGGTATCCCGTACCTCTGCAGGTCCTGAGAAGGAGTGAGCTGGGCGAGGAGGTCCCGGCACTGCGGGAACCCTCCCTGGAATGCAGGAGGTAGGACAGGCAAGAAGATATGCAACTACCCTGGGAGCAAGAGCTCAGCTTGGATTCCCTCTCCCCTCCTCCCTCACTTCTTAGCTGTGTGGCCAGGGATCAAGGCTGAGGAATTTTGGGGGCTCACAGCACCCCCACCATCTTGTCACCTAGGCCCTCATGACGACCCAATAAAATTTGTTTTAACATCTTTGAGAAGTCAAATGCTTCCATTTTGTCTTTTCATAAACACTAAGGAAGAAACAGAGTCTATGCTTTCAGAGGGATTTCCTCTCCCACCTGCTCTCCGCCCCCCCACCCCCCCTTTTAAATTTAAAGATGACAGCCCAAGGATCTTCAGTGGAATCTATTCCTTCTACTCGACTCACACACACCCTGCACCTTCCACGGGGTTCACCCTGCTGGTCAAACCCGGGCCCACTGCCTGTGCCCATCCACAGCCCCTTCTGTCTCCCTGCGTGGCTGATGGTTTTTTCCACTGCTGAGCACTGCAGGACAGTCAGAACACTGGCCTTGTTTAGTTGCCTGCAGACTCATGCTTTGTCACCTCAGCTGGGCCCTCGCGGCTGCTCAGCAAACTGTTTATTCAATGTGTGTTCACCCCTCACATCCTCACAGCTACTGTTCTCCCCGCTGAAGGCCTGTCTCGGGGCGCCCCCCTCCCCACAGCTGAAGGCATTCAAGTGAATACCACGTCTCCAGTCTGAGGGGCAAAATGAAGGCTGCCCGCTGAAGCCTTTACTCCGAGGCCCACCTCATTTCCTCAGTTTTCTGTTTTCTCCACCTTCCCTGGGGAAGAGTCTTCTCTGCTTCCCAAGTCTCCCCCTCGGCCCTGTCTGGGCGCACCTCCTAACAGGTTCAACCTTCTCTGTTGCATCCTCGAAATCTATAGGAAGAGAGATTCTTCACCCACCTCCACCCCGGTGTGTTCTCATCCTGGCTCCCCTAAGGCAGCACTTGTGCAGATCGTGGGATTGTGTTGAGATGCAGATTCTGGTCCAGTAGGTGGTAGGTCAGACTGAGATGCTGCATTAAGCCTCCAGGTGAGGCTGATGCTACTGGTCCATGGGTCACACTTCTAACAGAAGCTTCCAGGACAGTGGTTCTCAAAGTGTGATCCCCGGACTTGCAGCCTCGGCATCAGCCAAAACTTGTTAGAAATGCAAACCCTCCAGGCCCACCCAGCCCCACTAAATTTCAGTCACACAAAGTTTGAGAACCACTGTCTAGCCCATCTCTAGGCAGAAGCAAATCCAACCCTCATTCCCATAGTTACAGTGACACTAGGGGATCCAGACCCTCATTTCTTACACCAGCCCTGTGAAGCAGGTAGGAGCGGAGGTTACCCTCGTGCGACACGGAGAGGCCAAGTAACTAACGGCGGAGCCGGAACTGGTCACCAGTCTCTTTAAAGCCTACCCAGGGTACCCCTCACCCGACCAGTGGCTTCCCAACTCGCCGAGGCTGCGGAGACTTTCTGCCACGCCCCAGTGAACCCCACACCTGTTCTGGTATTATGAGGCGTCTCAAAGTGAAGCAGTGGGCACATGCAGGGCAAGCCTGCCATAGCCTATTTTTAGGGAACCCCTTGGTCCTTGAGAGTTTATGATTCCACTAAGCCCAGAAGTGCCACCCTGGACAGGGCCACCTCAGTGTCCTTGCAGAGAGCCTGCTCCCTTTCCCAGGCACAGGGACTGCTCAGGTGGGAAGAAACAAGCAAACCACCTCCACTCAGCTCCGACAGAGGTTCCTAGAGACCGTGGAGCCCAGGAGGAGGGTCAGGAAGGTGGGGCCCTTTCCCAACCGAGTGCCGAGAACACGGGGAGCAGCTCTTCGTTGCCCCAGCACCCCAGCTATGTTGATCATGATGTCTGTCACCCAGTGTCCTTTGCTGGCTGGAACTGCCCAGCCCAAGGCCTCTGCTCAGTGTGTTCTTTGCAGAGAAGCAACTCCTGACTGGACCAGGGTGGATATCTGACCAAAAGGAGGCCCACCAATGGGTTTAGCTGGTGACCCACAAAGTGACCTGTCAGACAGGACCAGGAGCTCGCCGGGCTGATCAAACCAGCTCCCCCCAGACGGTGCAGAGGACTGGCCAGCTGGCAGCGAGAGGCGCGTGAGGCAGACAGATGGGCAGAGAAGCGGGGTGCCTAAGACGGGAACGTGCCTGCTGGAGTGAGGTTCAGGGCACTACAGCCCAAGCACAGCCCCTCGCCCACACCAGACCTCACCTTCCAGCCTCACTGCACACCCCATTTTCTTACAGAGCACCTCAGGATGCCTGCAGAGTCACAGCCCGTGACTGCCCACTGATACCTAATGGCTCCCCACTGGCTGGCAGGCAAAGCATTTCAAGTAGGGGGTGGGAGGAAGACTTCTAAAATGAGGAGCCCCGCTCTTGGCTGCCTCCATTCTTTTGTCTTCTAGCCCCAACCAGATGGGGTACCTAGTGCCCCAACTAGTACCTACGGGGCAGATAATATACTTTGTATGTGACAAAGTTTTTAAAAAATATGTTTTCATTGGTTTTAGAGAGAGAGGAAGGGAGAGGGAGGCAGAGATAGAAACATCGATGAGAAACAGATCGATTGGTCGCCGCCTGCATGACCCAGATCAGGGCCGGGGATTGAAGCTGTAACCCAGGCACATGTTCCCAACTGGAACTGAGCCCTTGACCCTTCGGTCCGCAGGCTGGTGCTCTGACTGCGGAGTCAGTCCGGCCAGGGCTGGCTGTTTGTTTTTCACACCTCTGCCTCCGTGCAGTGCTGGCACAAAGCAGCGGTTCTGGTTCCGGTTCCCCCGTCCCAGAGGGTAAGGGGGGCCGGGCGCACATGGCTCAAGAGCAGGGACGTGCACCCTGCCGTCTGGGCGCTT